AAGCAGTTTTGAAATCTACTTAATAAACTCAATATTATAAATAGACCTTTGACTTCTGGCCAGGTGCAGTGACTCATGCCTGAAATCGCAACACTTTGGGAGGCCAAGGCGGGCAGATGACTTGAAGTCAGGAGTTTGAGATCAGCCTGGCCAACATGGTGAAAGCCCATCTCTACTAAAAATACAAAAATTAGTCGGGCATGGTGGTGCATGTCTGTAATCCCAGCTACTCAGGAGGCTGAGGCAGGAGAATCGCCTGTACTCAGGAGGCCTTGGTTGCAGTGAGGCGAGATTGCACCACTGCACTCCAGCTTGGGCAGCAGAGCTAGATGCTATGCCAAAAAAAAAAAGACATTTGACTTCTATTGATGTCTTCTAAACCAAGTATTAAAGTTGACTTTTAACACTCATTTTTGGTGAGGATCATTTCAACGCAACCATGAGGAAGAGTAACTCTAATTTGGCAATTTCCCTAGTGTCACAGAAGCAGAGGTTCAAACCAAGTCTTCTTTCTGGCACCAAAGCCTGTGCCCTTCACCACTATGGCAGATGGGATTGAAAGACTTGGCCCTGACTCTTCACTCCCCTTGTCATAACATTGCAGAGCCCACCCTCACAGGGTGGTATAGGCTCCGAACCCATTGATGTGTGCTTGGTCACATGACTTGACTGGCCAATGGAATTTGAGACATCATGATGCACTTAGTGGTCTTAAGAGTTTGAAAGGCTTGGCTTAGTTCTGAGGGCTTCTGTGATAGCCATAAGACAAATTTCCCAGGAAGCCACTGCCCCCTTCAACCTGGGCCCCGAATAAACACTGTAAAACAGACCTGAACTTGGCAAATTGGAACTCTGAGCCTGGAGTCCAGTCAAGTACAGCAGCGTGCTGGTCTACCTGCAGACCCGTGGAAAAAAAAAAAATCCAACTTGTCATTTTAAGCCATTAAGTTTTCGAATAATTTCTGTAAGCCTAGTGTTATTGTACCAATAGTCAACTGATACACCACTATTCAACATATTCAAAATATGGTTCTTGGACACTGGTATCAAAATCATCTGGCACTTACTTATAAGGAAGATTATAGGAAGATGATTACTTATTTGCACTAAGCAGTTTAATGGAATAAGTCAGCAGGAGATACTAAGTTTAAGAATGTATTAAAATTAATATTGAAGCAATTCAATTTCTAGATATTTCTCCAAGGGAAATCCTTACAGATGTCCATAAAAACGGCAAGGAAGTGCCGGGCGCGGTGGCTCAAGCCTGTAATCCCAGCACTTTGGGAGGCCGAGGCGGTGGATCACGAGGTCGAGAGATCGACACCATCCTGGTCAACATGGTGAAACCCCATCTCTACTAAAAATACAAAAAATTAGCTGGGCATGGTGGCACGTGCCTGTAATCCCAGTTACTCAGGAAGCTGAGGCAGGAGAATTGCCTGAACCCAGGAGGCTCAGGTTGCGGTGAGCCGAGATCGCGCCATTACACTCCAGCCTGGGTAACAAGAGTGAAACTCCGTCTCAAAAAAAAAACAAAAAAAAAACGGCAAGGAAGTAATGTTGTTTGTAACACCGACTATCTGGAAATAACCTGAATATCTGAATATCCCTCAGCAGAAGAATGGTTAAATGAATGATGCCATTTCCACCTTGCAGCACACTACTAAGTATTATTTGTTAAACAGAAGCAAGAAAAATTCTCTGAGTCACGCCGTTTGGTGAAAAGTCAAGGTGCAGAACAATACGTGCAGTAAGATTTCATTTACGTAAAGAAAAAGCACATCTATGTAAATGTATTTAAAAAGATTATAATTACACAAACCAAGCTGATAAGTGATTGCCTTTGGGAAGGTATGATGTTGAGAAGTTGGGGGGGTGGGTCATTGCTTTATCTGTAGTGTTTATTGTTTTTACACTGACTAGGTTGTATGCATATATTACTTATGCCATTAAGAAGAAAAATATTATGTATTTTTTTTTTTTTTTTTGGAGACGGAGTTTCACTCTTGTTACCCAGGCTGGAGTGCAATGGCGCGATCTCGGCTCACCGCAACCTCCGCCTCCTGGGTTCAGGCAATTCTCCTGCCTCAGCCTCCTGAGTAGCTGGGATTACAGGCATGTGCCACCATGCCCAGCTAATGTTTTGTGTTTTTAGTAGAGGCGGGGTTTCACCATGTTGACCAGGATGGTCTTGATCTCTTGACCTCGTGATCCACCCGCCTCGGCCTCCCAAAGTGCTGGGATTACAGGCTTGAGCCACCGCGCCCGGCCAATATTATGTATTTTTAAACATAGGCTGCATGTAGTGGCTCATGCCTGTAATCCCAGCACTTTGGAAGGCCAAGGTGGGAGGACTGCTTGACAACCTGGGCAACATAGTGAGACCCTGTCTTTACAAAAAATTTTAAAAATTAAAATTAACCAGGTACGATTGTGTGCGTCTATAGCCTCAGCTACTCGGGAGGCTGAGGTGGGAGGATCACTTGAGCCCAGGTGATAGGGGCTGCAGTGAGCTGTGATTGTGCCACTGCACACCAACCTAGGTGACAGAGCAAGACCCTGTCTCTAAAATATTTTTTTAAAATAGAAAAATGTAGATTTTTTGGTTTCACCACAAATCAGAAGAGTCCAGGAATCTGCGGTTAACTAAATTTTCAGTCCCTGTCTTCTCACTGGCCCGACTCAGCAGCAAGATCAGGAGGAAGCAGCCAGCCAGGGGAAGAGCTGGAAACGTGATATCACCTGGGCGAAGACACACTGCAGGATTTCCCCTGTGTCGGGGAGGTGGAGGAGAATGCTGCCTGAAGGTTTTCTGTTTTAACAAAGGCAAAGGAGGGGCCCGATGGGTGATTCACACCTGTAATCCCAGCACTTTGGGAGGCCAAGGCGGACAGATCACGAGGTCAGGGGATTGAGACCATCCTGGCTAACATGGTGAAACTCTGTCTCTACTAAAAATACAAAAAATTAGCCAAGCAGAGTGGACGTACCTGTAGTTTCAGCTACTCGGGAGGCTGAGGAGGGAGAATTGCTTGAACTCAGGAGGCAGAGGTTACAGTGAGCCAATATTGTGCCCCTGCACTCCAGCCTGGGTGCCAGAGAAAGACTCTGTTTCAAAAGAAAAGAAAGAAAGCCAAATGAGCTTCTAGAGCCATTCGGTAGCTGGAGAAAGTCCCTGTTAATGGCTAGGATGTCCTCTACAGGGAATTGTCATCCCATCCTGGTCCCATCCCACCCCTGGGGGAATATATCTGAAACTTGGAAGGGTAAGAGGAGGTACTTGAGATAGTTGCATTTATCAGAAGAGGGCATGAGAATCGAGGTGGGGCATCCTGAAGTGTGGCCAGCCTAGGGAGAGGGCACTGGACACCGTTCCATGTGGAGACAGTCTGAAAAAGATAAGGTAGGGGACAGGAATAAAGCCAGTGGGAGCTTTCCGTATATTTTTTGAACAGTTTCATCTACAAAACCAGGGCCTTGCCTGTAAGTCCCTCGTGCCCTGTAAGTCTGTGATCTTCTGGGACTCTCTGCTGGAGGTCAGGCTCATCAAACCCAACAGGTTGGTGGCACCTCCTGGAAGTGCTGATTTGAAATCCCAGGCCCTGCAGCCTCAAATCAAGTAGAAGAGCCGTGAGCTGGGCACACTCACCTGCCATGATGGGCGTCAGGTCCCCAAATCCCCAGTCCAGGTTCATGGCTGTTCCCAGGACACTCCTCACAGGTCACAAGTCCCTGTTGTATCAGGGACTTGCTTTCTCAGCAACTGAGTCTTGCCAAGCCCAGCTGACCTGCCTGGTTGGCTTCTCCAGCAGCTGAAAGCCCCGTGCAGAGGCTGCCCTGCTGCCTTCCCTGGAGGGGAGGATCTGCAGCCGTGCCCTGGAGTGTCTGCTCACCAGCCCCTTCCGTGTGCCTCCTCGCCAGCAGACTATGAGACAGTTGACAGGGCTGCCCAGACCAGAGTTGAGGGCAGGAGCCTTCCATGGCTGGGCCACTGGGGCTGGGGCAAGAGGGACTGAAAAGAAACCCAAAGTATGTGATGCAATTGCTGTGCTGCCCCAAGTTTCCAGCAGGAGGAAAGTGAGAGGAGAAAAGAGCGGGACTGAAGCCTGTATTCCCCCAGATTCCTAGCTAGAATCCTAACGGCCCGCCACCGCCCATGATGGTATTAGGAGGTGGGGCTCTTGGGAGGTCATTAGGTCATGAGAGCAAAGCCCTTGCGAATGGGAGTAGTGCCCCTATAAACGGGACCCCAGAGAGCTCCCTTTTCCCTTCTACCATGGGAGGACACAGACAAAGGCACCATCTATGAACCAGGAAGCAGGCCCACACCAGACACCAAACCTGCTGGTGCCTTGATCTTGGACTGCCCAGCCTCCAGACTGTAAGAAATAAATTTCTAGCTAGGTATGATGGCTCACACCTATAATCCCAGCTACTTGTAAGGCTGAGGCAGGAGAATCACTACAGGCCAGGAGTTTGAGAACAGCCCAGGCAACACAGTGAGACCCCATCTCTAAAAAGGTAATAACAGGCTGGGCGTAGTGGCTCATGCCTATACTCTCAGCACTTTGGGAGGCTGAGGTGGGTGGATCATCTGAGGTCAGGAGTTCCAGACCAGCCTGGCCAATGTGGTGAAACCCTGTCTCTACTAAAAATACAAAAAATTGGCTGGATGTGATGGCACATGCCTGTAATCCCAGCTGGGGAGGCTGAGGCAGGAGAATTGCTTGAACCTGGGAGGCAGACATTGCAGTGAGCCAAGATTGCACTACTGCACTCCAGCCTGAGCGACAGAGTGAGACTCTGTCTCTAAAAAAAGGTAAAAACAACAACAAAATTCTGTGGTTTTTAAGCCACCCGGTCTATGGTATTTTTGTTACAGCAGCTGAATGGACTAAGACATGTTCAATGACAAATTCATGGCCTTTTGCCTGAGAAAGCCTTATTTAGTAAGTCTGGGAGGGGCTGAGAAACCTTCATTTTTCTTCTTTTTTTTTTCATATCAGACAGATAACGTGCAGACATCATAACAAGATTCAAGGTTGACATATGTCACAATATGCATGGACATCCAATTATTATGTTTAAGAACTAAAGGAGCCAGGTGCCGTGGCTCACGCCTGTAATCCCAGCACTTTGGGAGGCTGAGGCAGGTGGATCACGAGGTCAAGAGATAGAGACCATCCTGGTCAACATGGGGAAACCCCGTCTCTACTAAAAATACAAAAAATTAGCTGGGCAAGTGGCCCATGCCTGTAATCCCAGCTACTCGCGAGGCTGAGGCAGGAGAATTGCCTGAACCCAGGAGGCGGAGGTTGTGGTGAGCCGAGATCGCGCCATTGCACTCCAGCCTGGGTAACAAGAGCGAAACTCCGTCTCAAAAAAAAAAAAAAAAAGGAACTAAAGGATCAAAACCTACATTTTAAAAGATTCTCTTAGGCTGGGTGTGGTGGCTCATGCCTGTAATCCCAGCACTTTGGGAGGCCAAGGCAGGTGGATCACCTGATGTCAGGAGTTTGAGACAAACCTGACCGGCATAATGAAACCCTGTGTCTACTAAAAAGACAAAAAAATTGGCTGGGTGTGGTGGTGGGCGCCTGTAACCCCAGCTACTTGGGAGGCTGAGGCAGAAGAATCGCTTGAACCCAGGAGGCAGAGGTGGCAGTGAGCCGAGACCAGGCCATTGCACTCCAGCCTGGGCGACAGCAAGACTCCATCTAAAAAAAAAAAAAAAAAAAAAAAAAATTAGCCAGGCTTGGTGGCAGGCACCTGTAATCCCAGCTACTTGAGAGGCTGAAGCAGGAGAATCGCTTGAACCTGGGAGGTGGAGGTTGCAGTGAGCCAAGATCGTGCCACTGCACTCCAGCCTGGGTGACAGAGCAAGACTCCGTCTCAAAATTAAAAAAAAAAAATTAATAAAAGATTCTCTTAGGTCATGCACAGGTTTGAGAATGGTGATTTTAGGTTAACCTGGTTGAGGTTTGTTCAGAAAGCTTGAGAAGGGTCAGAGGTCAGCGTGAGAACGCTGACTTTGCTTCAGCTGTTAGGAGTTTCCCTCCCTGCCGTCAGTCAGGGGCAAGGGCTTGATTCACCTTGTGACCTAGAACCTCAAAAGCAGCCCCTTAGTACAGAGGGAAAGTCAGATGTTGAGCCAGGCTGGAAGTGTAGCTAGCTAGAACAGCATCCCCAGGGCTGAGCCCCAGGCAGAGGGCCCAGGAGGAGCTGCCAGGTCCACACCTGCAGTCAAGATTCTCACTGGCAAATTCTTACACGTTTGCAAAATGCAGCTAATGTTTCATGCACCGTCTGCATGAGCAGCTGCTTTCTATTCTTGATGTGGGCCATAGGATCTCTAACCAGAGTGCATGTGCGTCCACATGTAATATACATATACCCTCTCTTGATAAGTCTGAAGCAGGGTGTGTCTGTAACTCCAGCTAAGGCAGGGCTCTGCCGGTTCCCTGATCAATCGTAGAAGTCTAGATCAAGCCTTCAGGGTATACCAGACAATTCCAGGAATAGGCGTGGGTGTTTTAATTTTAGGCAAGAGCAATCCTAACACTTACAGCAAAGAGCCTTCCCACTAGGCTAAAAGTTCCAGAAAGTTTTATATTACAGCACCAAATCCAGTGTTATGGTTCCAATCAATTCAGGAAATAAAAAGTCTACAATTTATTTGGGTCTCTAAGACTCAGAACTCCTGGCCAAAAATGTGCCCTTTGATCTTCATCCCTTTAATCTGAAGTATTCTCTAAATGCATTTCCATTTAAGAACAATGCTTTCTACTGGCACAATACTTTTTATTGAAGGAACTCAGCTTGTGTTCAAGGATTCCAATCCTTGGATTAAAATCAGTGTCATATATCGGTCCTAGTGTGTGCTGGGTTCCTACCCTCAGTGACCTTAGTGGCAAGGAGCAAAACTCAAGGACGTACACTAATAACCACAGCCATCAAAAGGCCAGAGCCAGGAGCTGGGAGTTCTCAGAGGGAGGCCATCAGTAAACGTTTGAGTTGGGTCTCAAAGAATGGATAAGCTTTTAAGAAGAGGAGAGAGGGGGAAAAGAGCAGTCCAGGCAGGAAGAAAGACTGAGCAGCACAGAGAATGCTTGCGGAGTTGCGGGTAATTCAGTGAAGCCAGGAGATAGGGCAGTGGTGATGGTGGAGGTGATGGGAGAGATGAGCCTGGCCACACAGTGGAGCCAGAGTGTATTGAGCCAAACTCCCTCGGATTTGCTCAAGAGCTGATGTACACAATGCTTCAGAGGAATCTCACAGAAATGGTGCAGGACAGAGTGATTGGACCTCCAGTCACTCTCTCTGGTGGCCCCTTGGTTTATCTGCACACTGCATCCTCTGACCTCCCATTGGGCAACTCTGACTCAAGCCAACCTGTAGGCCAAGCATCCGTCACCACAGTCTCTTGATTCTTGGTTCCAACTCAACAGAGATAATTTGATTGGCCAGTGGCCAATGGACTGTCTGTCCCCTGGTCAGGTGTCTACCCCTCGAATATCAGCCGTTCTGGTCGGGGGCAGGGTGGGGCTGTTATACAGTGAAAGCACAACCTACTGGGCTCACCCTTCAACAGAGGGTATAGTGTGTGGAAGTTTAAAGAAAGAGGCATGGGCTGGGCAGGTCTCCAAACGGGTCTCCTTCCACTGCAGTAGGGGTCAGTGGGAACTATTACATTTTTTGAGGAAGAAAATAACATAATTAAGGCTGTAATTCCGGAAGACTACTCTCTACCATGTGAAGGATAAGACTGAAGGGGAAGGGGAAGTTGCCAACATGTATCAAACATCTACCATGTACCACACACTTGCCACATGTATCTAATATGTACCTAGCCCCTATGATGCTACAGATTGTATGCATATTACTTTCTCTAGTTTTCACAAAGGCCCATTTTATTTATGAAAAAACTGCAATCTCAGTGCGTTGGGAGGTTGAGGTGGGAGGATTACTTGAGTCCAGGAGTTTGAGACCTGCCTGGGCCAAAAAACAAAACAAAACAAAACACACACCAAATTAGCTGGGCATGGTGGTGCATGCCTGTAGTCCTAACCTCTAGGGAGGCTGAGGTGGATGGACGGCTTGAGCCCAGGAGTCTGAGGGTACAGTGATGAGCTGTGATTACACCACTGCATTCTACCCTGGGTGACAAACTACCCTGTCTCTTAAAAAAAAAAAGTAAAAAATAAAAGAGGCCAGGAAGGAAAGTGAAGTAATTTGCCCAAAGTCACACAGCTAGTCAGTGGTAGAACTGTGATTTGAACTTAAAAGCTGTCCGGACTTGAAATCCACACCAAGCAGAAAATCTGCCAGGACAGCCCCATCCGCAGGTGCCTCACAGGCCACGAGTTCGGAATGAGCTTGTCATCTTCTGCCTGTTTCTATTCCTCTTCCGTATCACCATCCTCCCAGTCACCTAAACCCACATCCCTCTAAATCTCAGTCTCCTTGTCTGTAGAACAGAGATAATAATCATGTATCCTGAAGGTTGTGAGAATTAACTTAGAGGATTCTCATCAAGTGCTTAGCACCATGCAGGGTGCTATGTGGTGTCTGCCAGTGTCCTCAACCTTTTTGCACCAGCACCAGTTTCATAGAAGACAATTTTTCCATGGCCTGGGGGTGGGCGTGGGAGTTGGGGGGAGAGTTACAGGATGAAACCATTCCGCCTCAGATCATCAGGCATTAGCTTCTCCTAAGGAGCCTGCAAACTAGATCCCTCACATGCACAGTTCACAATCGGGTTTGCGCTCCTGTGAGAATCTAAATGCCACTGCTGCTTTGACAGAAGGCGGAGCTCAGGCGGTAATGCTCACCCACTTACCTTCCGCTGTGCAGCCCGGTTCCTAACAGGACACGGATTGGTACCAATCCACAGGCCAAGGGTTGGGGGCTGCAGAATCAACAGAAAGAGCAATTGATTGGCTCTGGGAAGCAACAGGAGTTAACCTGGAGTTTTACTTATCTAATATAGGAGCTGGCAAACTTTTTCTGAAAAGGGCCAGATAGTAAGTGTTTTTGGCATTGCAGGTCATATAGTCTCTGTTGCAACTTCTCAACTTTGCCATTGTTGGTCCAAACCAGCCATGGACAATACATAAGTGAATGAGTATGCTGTCTTCCAAGAAAATGTTATATACAAAAACAAGCAGGGGCTGATTGGACCGAAGGGTCATTTTTTGCTGCCTTATGGTCTTTGCCCTGCCTCATCTCATGAGGAGGCCATGTCTGTTTAGTTCATTGATTTTTCTCCAGGGTCTAGTGCAGTGCCTGGCACATAGAAGACATTCCATAAATATTTATTAAAGAAATGATTAAATGAGAGAAAGCAAATAAGAACAAAAGAAAGACTGAGAAGAGACAAACCTTTGAGATCACCTGGATATCTGTGACAGGGTTCTGTGTAAGAAATAGAAACCAGGCCGGGCGTGGTGGCTTAAGCCTGTAGTCCCAGCACTTTGGGAGGCCAAGGTGGGTGGATCACGAGGTCAAGAGATCGAGACCATCCTGGTCAACATGGTGAAACCCCGTCTCTACTAAAAATACAAAAAATTAGCTGGACATGGTGGCTCGTGCCTGTAATCCCAGCTACTCAGGAGGCTGAGGCAGGAGAATTGCCTGAACCCAGGAGGCGGAGGTTGCAGTGAGCCGAGATCGCGCCATTGCACTCCAGCCTGGGTAACAAGAGCGAAACTCCGTCTCAAAAAAAAAAAAAAAAAGAAAGAAATAGAAACCACACTAAGGTTTTTAAGCAAAAAAGAATATAACATGAAGAACTGCAAACTTGTTGGAAGGGCTGGAAGAGACGGCTCTAGGCTGGGCCTCTGAGGATGGCTCCCAGAATGTGGTTAAACCAATTTGCCAGGGGAGACATCACCTCTGCCACAATCAGGAAAATGGACTCAGGAAGCTGCCATTGGAACTACTGACTGCAAGAACATCATGGTTGTAAGACAAGGTCAGAAAGCAGTCAGAAAGCCAGGAACAGCGTGAATTACTGCCACCACCACATTTGCTAGGCAGAGGAACCTAGCCACTGCCACGTTCTCGAGATCCTTGATGCCCATGAAACTGGAGAATGGCGA